GGGCTTTTTTTTTGTAGGAAGTTTTCTTATTACGTGGTCGATTTCCTTGATTGTTATTGGTTTATTTAGGGTCTCAATTTCTTCTTGTTCCAACCTAGGTAGGTTGTGTGATGTCAGAAAGTCTTCCATTTCCTTCTGGTTTTCAAGTTTGTTTCCATACAAGTGTACGTAGTAGTCTCTAATGATCTTTTGTATTTCTTCAGGGTCAGATGTGACTTCATCTTTTGTGTTTCTGATTATGCTTATTTGGTTTTTTTCTCGTTTTTTCTTGGTCAGTCTAGCTAGGGGACCATCAATCTTGTTTACCCTTTCGAAGAACCAGCTTTTTGTTTCATTGATTTTTTGTATTATCTTTTTGTCTTCTATGTCCTGGATTTGGGCTTTTATTTTTGGTGATCTAGATTCTTCTGCTGAAATTAGGGTTTTTGTGGTCTTGCTTTTCCAGCTTCTTTAGGTGGCTTGTTAGGTTGTCAATTTCTGTTCCTTCTATTTTCCTCATGTGTGTTTGTAGGGATATAAATTCCCCTCTTATTACAGCTTTTAAGGCATCCCAGAGATTTTGGTAAGATGTTTCTTTATTTTCATTTGTTTCCAGGTATCTTTTGATCTCTATTTTGATGTCATCATTGACCCAGGGGTTATTTAGCATCATGCTGTTTAGTGTCCATGTCTTTGTGGGTTTTGGGGGGACTTTGTTGGTGTCAATGTTTATTTTTATTCCACTGTGGTCCGAGAAGGTGCATGGTAGAATTTCAGTCCTTTTAAATTTGCTTATACTTGATTTGTGTCCAATTATGTGGTCAATCTTAGAATATGTTCCATGTGGTGATGAGTAGAATGTGTATTCTGTGGTCTTTGGATGTAGTGTTCTATAGGTATCAATTAAGTCCATTTGGTCCAAAGTCTCATTGAGAGTCCGGATCTCCTTGCTGATTTTTTGTCCTGATGATCTGTCTAAGGTTGTGAGTGGTATATTAAAGTCCCCAGTTATTATGGTGTTAGAGTCAGTGTCTTTCTTTAGTTTTCCTAGAAGTTGCTTTATGAATGTTGGTGCGCCTATGTTGGGTGCATATATGTTTAGGATAGATATTTCTTGTTGATGGAGTGAACCTTTTATCATTATGTAGTGGCACTGTGTATCTTTTTTAATTTTTGATAGCTTAAATGGTATTTTGTCTGAAATTAGGATCGCGACTCCTCCTTTCTTTTGTGTTCCATTCGCCTGAAAATTTGTTTCCCATCCTCTTACTTTGAGTCTGTGTATGTCCTTTCTAGTGAGATGGGTCTCTTGAAGGCAGTATATTGTTGCCTGGTGATATTTTATCCATTTTGTCATTCTATGTCTTTTCAGTGGTGCGTTTAGTCCATTCACATTCAGACTAATTATTGAAATGTGAGAGTTTGTCCCTATCATGGAGTTCTTATTGAGTTATTGTTCTTCCACTTGGTTTTTTCTTTTT